ACTATATAAACCTGTGCATGTGTCTTTGACTTCGAAGTAAGTAATGAAGGTGTGAAAGTGTCGGCAAAAGGCGAGATTATGCCACCAGCAGACAGAACCCACGCTGCTAAAGGCGTCGAAGCAATCTGGCTGGAAGGAGACACGTCCACAGAGACCAACAACAAAGCTTCATGGCTACTGCGCTCAGTACTAGGGAGGGGCGACTCCCCACTCGGTGGTTCTTAGCGCTCAGCCTAATAGGCTGCATCAAACGCAGACCGAGCAAAACATACAGCGCGGGTCGTATACGAGTCTATTCTGCCCCTTCTACCAATACCCATCTTGTGTTGAAGCAGAGCTCCAGGGCTTGAGGGAACCACCGAACTTCATTGTCAGACTCCCAATTTGGGTGGTTTGCACTTGTTATGCTGGAGCTTTCCACAGAATTTTTGATCAGCCATACTAATAGTACTACGAATCTGACAACATGACTGGGACAGACTCGGTTTCAGTCTTCGCCGAAGGAACGTTTGAGGAGCAGGCAAGGATCTCCAACTAGGATGTTTAGCTTTGTGATCTCAATCTCTGTACCAGATACAAGAATTGGTTAACTACATTGTTCGAAATCGATCGGAAGAAGAACGTGCTACTTTCATACGCCCTTTTCAAGAGGCCTTCAAGACTTTCGAGTCGCAAGAATCGTCTAAAGAAGATGTTGAACGGAAGCGTAGAATTTTCAAAATGGTGTTGAATGAAGTGAAAAGCCTTGGTGATGGCACGGAGAAGGGTGAGCACTTTTTTCTGCCTTGGAATTCCGCCTGATCAAACCGTCTCTCGAAATAGAAACAGAAGGTTTCTTCAACCTGCTCTTTTCGCATTTGTACTCTTTGTACGCTTCTGATGGGTCCGACACCAAAGAATTCGTGAATGTTTTCATTCGACTTCTTACAGACGAACCCGCAACCCAAAAGTTCCTCAAGTATCGCATGTAGGTAATCTTTTACCTCAGAGGCAATGATCATTAACTATGCAGCACTTTAGACTATCCAACCTCTTTAACGCCACTGAACACACATCATCCATCCGACCCCTGGTTTACAGCGCCCTTGTGCAAATATCCAGTGCCAATGGCGACATAGACGCTCTCCAAATCACCCGTACAAACATAGAGAAGTGGCTCTCCAATTGGAATATTGCTCCGACTGAGAAAGCTTCATTCCTCAAAACCATTTCTGGCGCGTACGAGGCAGAGTCACAACCGTGCGTTCTGACATGACTTTGACCTTCCCTAGCTCATCTCTTTTCCAGAGAAATTGCCTATGAATATGAACGACTCTATGTACAGACATTGCCTTCAACGTCGCCCGGTGCCCAAGAAGGTGCTATCGACCTGATCACGACCGCACTCAGACTCCCCAACGTCTTCGACTTCGACCCTTTGTTCAAGCTTGACGCGGTTATATCAGCAAAAGGCCATGAACTATTTTCCCTTCTACAGATATTCCTTAATGACGGTCTCTCGGAGTTCAACGCTTGGATAGGGTCACATTCGCATATTCTCGACAAGTACAGTATGTGTTGTCATCGCACACTTCTGAATTGATCTTTAACATGGTACAGACTTGGATCGTGCGCAGCTGGAACATAAAATTCGACTGCTTACCTTTGCTTCCCTGGCTTTGCAATATGTTGGTCGTGATCTGCCATACTCAAAAGTAGCAGAGGCCCTTCAGGTAGATGTTGTTGATGTCGAAAAGTGGGCCATCGATGGTGATCTCGTCCATTTCTTTCCTTTTGTAACGTATATCTCACGAAAATTCTAGTTATCCGGGCACAGTTGGTGTGGGGTAAGCTGTCGCAAACCACACAGAGCCTTCACATCACACGCGCCACCGCACGGACGTTCGAGAAAGAACAGTGGGAAACCCTTCAAAAGAGGCTATTGGCATGGAAGTCTGGCCTCAGTGGAATTTTAGATGTCGTGGTCGACGCAAAGCAGTCAGCAGGTCTTGTACAGCCCCAGAACGTAGCGTGATTATGATAATACCGCGTGTTTTGCATCTTCGATCTGAGTGACCCTGACATACTCTCGTATTCCTTGCGTGACATGTCAAATGGAAGTATCTGTCAAAGTCGAAACTGGTATTACTCTCCTCATCGGCTTTCTGTATCATCAAAATCTGGAAAAGTGGTGTCAATAATCCTTCGGTTTACATGTCCAAGTTCCCATTTCATAAGCGGCGCTAACACAGCTGAGAAGCTAGTGTCTTGAAACGCATGGAGTCCTCGCTCTATCTACGTGAACTGTATGGATTTATCAAGATCCAACCAATAAGCCAAGCCTTGATAACGAAACTAATACAGAATGGACTTCCACAGTCGGAAAAGCACTCGTTCTTCAATGCTAATGAACATTAATGTACATGCGTGTCAACCATGGACTATGCAACGCAGGCGGAAAAACACCTGCGACATCTATAGATATCCGTGAATGGTAGGCAATGTGCTGACATCCAGACATCTAGTCTGATCTAGAATCTACCTCTATCACCACTCGCCATCAAAGCCAACGAATCCTGTCATACCAATGTCAGTCACTGAGGAGGCTCATTCACAAACTGATTGACATACCTGCTAACAAGAAGACATGGAAGTACCTCTTCTTCTCGATCGTGGCACACCAGTTCCATGCACTGGTGAGCCTTCCGTCGATACAGCTACCAGCATCGAAGAAATTGTCCGCTCCAGAACCATCGAACCCGTGACGGAAGAAATCACCCAGGATATCTCGCATTAGGTTCTCTGTTGATCCAAATTCGTCGTCGATGTATGAACGCAAAGCAGGTTTTGCAGCAATGGAGGGTATTTGGGAAAGAGTATTGCAAATAGGAAGAAGGATGCGATAAATTTGGGTATACTTGTCGATGAACATCAAGGCATTGGGTACGTTATGGTCGCCCATGTGGATGACACTTGAGCCTATCCATGTGCCAACGCTCCTCTGTGCTTTGTGAAGGATGTTGTGCATCATACGGGAGGTTTTTGGTGATGCCTGGACGCGATTCAAGCCCTGGCCAGTATCGCGTAGGCGGTATGGAACATTTTCGGCGAGTAAGTCCTGCTCCGCCAATGACCACAGATGGAACATATCTGTGTAGCTACATCAGATGCCTGATTTAAAGAAGGCATCGGAAACGCTTCCTTACCGTGCAGAATTTCTCTCCAAAGCGTTAAGCTCTGGAGGACATATGCATATTGTTTTCCATGATCATGAGACAGCCTCGCCCCGTCTCTGCCGCTGCGGATAGCAAGGCTACTTTTGCTGTCTTTTGCCTGCGTTGGATGGAAGTACTCTTTCAAATAACTAATCATCCGCTCGCATGGATCACGATTGGCACGCAAAAAGGCATGGTTATCACCAATAGAATAAAGGCATTGCCGTAAATTTTCTTGCGAAAGTCCCTCACGTTCGTAACGAGCCGCAAGAGTTTCTATGGCCCGTTCCTTGCTTTTGATATCTTTTTGGATGTCTCTCCTCGAACGGCCTTCTGAGTAGATTTCCTTGGTCGCAGCAGTGATGAGATCATCCCGCAGAAGGTCGGTTGCATGGTATTCTTCCAAAACGGAATAGACGGTTTTGATCGGCCGGACGCAAGAAAAGTTGAGCAGGTCTTTTACGTCGTGTGATTGACTATCCTGTGATAAACCATCGCGGGTCGTAAGGGAATATTGCGATTGAGAGGGGTAAGGCAGTTCTCACCTGCAGGAGATAGATAAGCTTGCCATACGTGGTCCGCATCTTGTCAGGATTCATGATCTTGTGTCTACGCCCGAGTTCAAATATCGATTGATAGAACTCTGCGTTGGATTCAAAATCCCGGTCTGTGAAAAGTTCTTGCCCTTGCTTATAATCCGCTGCAAGTAGGAGACCTGACATGATCGCGCAAAGCTCCCGGATTTGCTGGACGATTCTCTTTGCTTTGGACAGTCCAAACCCAATGGTGTCGATTTTATCAGTATATTCTGAGACGTTGAGAGCGGCCTCCAAGAGACGGAGATATTTGCGTTCGACAAGGGTTAGGCGAAGAGGAATATATTTTGCTCGTTCCACAAACCACTCGCCGACTTTGACACCGGCGGCAGGCTGTGCTCCAATTACTTCACTGGTGGGTCCGGGAGTGATCCCCTTCCATTCCTCATCATCGGATTCATCTGCGCCGTCCTCCTCTATGTCCATCTACAGAAGATGTTTAATCGCTTCGACGACAACTGATTCCAAGGCATCTTACAGAATCCTCTCGTGTAGCGGCTTCATCCGCGGAAGCAGATTTCGTTGACTTTGTCTTGCCTTGTCCGGACAGAGGTTTGGATTTATGTTGTTTCCTTGTACCTTTCCTATGCTGTGCAGCAAAGCACACCTCGCAATACGCATCCGAACAGGTTTCACAAAGCAACTGAGCAGGCTGATCTTCAGAACATCAGGATTCATGAACTAAGGATGCACAAAGTCAGGAGTGAACTGACCTTCGCACTCGACGCAATAGCCTTCAGCAGCCTGGGTCTCGGCTCCTTCTTCATCCCACCCGACAGCGCTTACTCCATTGCCAAGCGTCCCTGGGTGTTCGATTGCTTCATGATTGTTACTCAGGATGGTTTCTAGGTTAAAGGCCGCACTGGGCACAGGGGTATCTCCTACGACAGAGGGAGTTTCCGTCATTCCCAGGTCGGGGAGGGCTGTAAACGTGGATCACTTTCCAGTGGCAGTGGCCCTCAGAAATAATTTTTGTCGACGCGTCAAAGCCCTTGGCACGTGCGGTCACTGGTCGATCAACCCGCCCAGGGGCCACGGCTCAGCGCTCAACAGTTCAAAGATTCTTGCGAAGAGCCCAGTTTGACCGTGAATCTATTCTGTCAAAATTGTTCTCTAAATCCTGTAGTTACTCTCTGATTGCATTTTCTTTCCCCAGAAATTGGTCTAAGTCACTCCGGATCCTGAATTCTGGGGTAAAAAACGTAACAAGGCCCCCGTTGTCTAATGGTTATGACGTCAGACTTCTATCTGTTCAGTACCCGTAGGGATCTGGAGGTTGCGGGTTCGAGTCCCGCCGGGGGTTATCGCCGTGAACGAATCCTTCTTTTTCTGCCAATGTTGTGCGTATTTATCCTTTTTCCTAACACAAAAGGCACACGATCATTGACGACGGTCTCTTTGCATAATAAATGGTGTATGTGCTATATTAGCCTTTGAATTATTATACAAGAAATCCCTAAAACATTCACGATGCTATGATCCCACCTGAACTAAAGTATTTCTATCCCAAATCTTTTTCAGTGTATCCTTCTTGTCTTCAAGCCTCCGCCCTGTCCAGTCCTCCTCCCCAACTCTATCAGCCCAATCTTCCTCTTCGCCCCAACTCTCTGCCCAGCCATCGTCCGCGTCATGAGTGTTCACCTCGACATCACGCAGATCTACTTTAGGAACCGGCGTCACTAGCGTATTTGGTGAATTCATCGCACGAGGATAATCATTATGCACATTCAACGGTGCAGGTGCACCTCGTCGTTTGGCGTTCTTAAGCTGATCCTTGGTGGGCTTGGGCTGTGAAGCAATAGAAGAATGACTATTGGAGAGACTTGGGGGATAAGAATGGTCGGCTGGCTCGTCGGAAGAGGATCTTGTACCGCTTTTGTATTCTGCGGTTGTTAAATTCGTAGAATGCTGATGATCGGGTATAATGGGAGGAGAAGGCGGACGTGAACGCGGACGCGGACGTGCATGCTCGATATCATTATTTCGGTAGTTATTGTCGTCACCATTGTTATCATCATCTGGCGCGTTGAACAAGGGTTCTCGATCGTGAGATGTAGCGCTGGGGTCGTCGTATAGCGTTAATGATTTGGTAGATGCTTTGACTATTGAGTCGATCAACCAGAATTGGAGGACGTTCATGATGATGGGGAAGATTCCCATGACACTTTAGAGACATGATCAGCTGGAGTTTCGGAGCAAATAGATGTCATACAATATGACTTGAACAGAATCTCCTCTCCCGACGCGTGTCCAACTTAGAAGCCATTCTCCAACGTTAAATATGCCTGGGATTGTCACAATAATGATGATAACGATAATCTTCATTGTAGTGAGCGCAAAGACATATACTGCTGCTTGTCGAGACCAGTATTTGAAAGAAGGTGGAGTGCCGTATACCCCCGATTCAAATCCCTCCCATTTCAGTCGCTTAGTCAGGATATCGGTGAGGACACGGAGGATGAGGTATATTATGGCCACGCCTGCAGTTGTTGGAACACTTCAAATACTGTTGACAGGTGGCTCACCGAGTGTTGTGTCCAACAGGATATGTAGGAAGTAGAAAACACACGCATTTCCAGACGTGTAATCCGAAATGATGTCTGAAGCCAGGACATTGGCACCGTGAACGAACATCTGGCCAGCAACTTGTTTAGAAACATCGAAAATCCTGCACGCCGCTCAGACCAGCTTGTCACCAGGAAGGATTGACGCACCATATCGCCCATGGGCGCTTTCTCGGTTCCCGGTGGCGTTTATATACCAGGGAAATAATGACAAAAACCCCAAGAGCACCTTGTACCACCTGAGATAGATAGTCAGAAACCATGACAAGGATGGGTTGGAACGGCCGCTGACTAGAGCAGTTGGACCAAGAAGCTGACAGGACTCGTCTGCTGGCACGGAGTCGGATACTCTTGCAATGGAAGTGGGCATAGGCGTTTTAGACGCCATATGTGTACAAGTTAGCACGCAGGCGATCCTCCATTGGCGAGGCGGTGGATGTGTATGTAAGCAGGTAGTGGGATGGATCAGTGACGACTGCTGTGATCAAACCGTGCTTTCTACTAAACTTTGCTGCCACATATCTCCTATCCGTAGAACCCGTAATCACCATGAGCTTCTTCAGTCGCGGTGGAAACACTCCCTCTACCCCCAGCACTTACAGACGCATACCCGACCAATCTCTGGGACCACACTCCGGCATGCGACAGCTTCCACAGTCGACCCAGAACAATCCACCCTCTGCACCTTATAACGATCCTTCAAATGCAATCTTTGAGAGAAGACAGTACAATGATATGCCGAATGCACCCTACGACCGAAGACAGCAGAACAACTTTTCAAATGCCAGACAGCAGTATGATCACGCTCCATATCCGTTAGCGAGTGAAAGGGGTGGAAAAGGAAACAAGTGGGTCGTTATCGCGCTTATGTGCAACAGATTCTGAGTCTTTCTTCTGAGATTCCGCATAGTACAATCGCCGAATCCCGCACTTGCGCTGACAAACTGTGCCATAGTTCATCGCGAGGATTTCTCACCGAATCAACATGTCCGCGTCAATAATGACCATATACTAACCGTCAGGTATGTTATTCGACATTTGCACGAAGAGATGTATCGATGTATTCAAGGCATGATAACGAGAACAAAATTGAACGGGGAACCATCGGACTGTCTGCTGTCCATCGACAATGGATAAAGCTGTCTGAGAACGACGTAGTCGCTGTTCAAGCTCTTCCCTCACCGCCGGACCCGGAAGCTCCTGCATTTCTCCAATCCATCGATCTGGAGGTTGGCTTTTATCGTGCTGCAAATAATATCGCGGAAGTATTCTCCGCTGACGAAATAGCCAAACACTTGTTGAGAGCGTACAGTGGCATCGTCATGTCTGTCGATCAATTAATTGTTTTCGAATTCCATGGGCAGAACCTTAAAGCCACTGTTAAGGCGGTCAACACCGTCGACTTAGCGGACGAGCAACGACGAGGTGCACCTCCTTCTGGCTCTGGGAGTCAGCGACCTAGTCAGCATCAAGATTTTGGTATCATCATGGACAGGACAGACATCACCATTATGAAAGCGTCGGATAGTAAGATCAAAATCAAGTCGAGTGCCACAAAGTGAGTCAAGAAACACGATTCTGGTTATTCGGCATACTGACCTGATCAGACCTCGGGCAAATGCTATCCTTGCTCCCAACTTCAAGTTTGAGGACATGGGCATCGGTGGCTTGGACTCAGAATTTGCTGAAATTTTCCGTCGTGCATTCGCGTCGCGCGTATTCCCGCCCGCTCTCGTCGAGAAACTTGGCATAGAACACGTCAAAGGTTCGCTTCTGATTTCTCAGACGCTTTCCCAGACGACTTACAAGGTATCAGGTATATTGCTTCACGGTCCTCCTGGTACTGGAAAGACTCTCATCGCAAGGCAAATTGGCAAGATGCTTAATGCAAGAGAACCAAAGATTGTAAATGGTCCCGAGGTTCTCAGCAAGTATGTTGGTGCTTCTGAAGAAAACATCCGCAAACTCTTTGCTGATGCAGAAAAAGAGGCACGCGCCTTCTATATTTCCAAGTCCATCCAGACTGACATCATAATTATAGTACAAGGAGAAGGGTGATGATAGTGGCCTTCATATCATAATTTTCGACGAATTGGATGCTATCTTCAAACAGCGTGGCTCTACCAACAATGGCACTGGTGTCGGTGACAGTGTCGTCAATCAGCTACTCTCCAAGGTCAAGTACGAGGCACCTTGATCCAGATATGATACTCATGATGTCAATACAGATGGATGGTGTCGACAAGCTGAACAACATCCTTATCATCGGTATGACCAACCGCAAAGACATGATTGACGAGGCTCTTCTACGTCCCGGTCGTCTTGAAGTTCACATGGAAATCTCGTTGCCGGACGAACACGGTCGTTATCAAATTCTCAGCATCCACACGAGCAAGATGCGGATGAACGCAGTCATGGAATCCGATGTCGATTTGCATGAACTCGCCGCGGCGACCAAGAATTTTTCTGGAGCTGAGATCAGTGGTCTTATCAAGAGCGCGTCGAGTTTTGCGCTGAATCGTCATGTCAAGGTTGGCACGGTGGCCGGTATCTCTGATGATGTGGTCAACCTACGTGTCAATCGGGGTGATTTCTTGAATGCTTTGGAGGAGGTCCATCCTGCGTTCGGTGTCTCTGAGGAGGAACTTGCGCAAGCTATACAGAATGGGATCATTCACTACGATTCTGTGATTAATGTGAGTTTGCGACATCAATTCCTCTTTCAATTCCTTTGTCGATGTCTTCTTCACAGGAAATCTTGCGATCAGGAGAGCTACTCGTGGAACAAGTGCGCACATCTACACGCACACATCTTGTCAGTGTGCTCCTCCACGGTCCCCCTGGTGCTGGAAAGACTGCGCTGGGAGTTTCGATTGCACAAGCATCCGAGTTCCCGTTTATAAAGCTGATCTCGCCCGATAACATGGTTGGATACTCTGAGAGTCAGAAGGTTGCGGCAATCACAAAGGTTTTCGCTGACAGCTACAAGAGTCCCCTCAGTGTCATTGTCATTGACAATATGGAGCGACTCATAGGCGTGTCCCATTTCTGGATCTTCCTTGGGAATAGAGTACTGATTTATCATATAGACTGGACACCTATGGGAGCGCGGTTCTCCAACGGAGTACTTCAGACGCTATTAGTATTGTTTGGACGGATACCGCCCAAGGTAGGTACCTTTCAAGATTTGTCATACTCCTTTCGTATCTTAATTTTCTCTTCCGAAGGGCCGACGTTTGCTCATTATAGCAACATCATCACAACGCTCGATACTCTCCGATCTTGGCTTCACAGAAACCTTTGATTCAGAGCTCCGCGTGCCTCCCATTACCAAACTGAGCTCACTAGACAGCATTCTCAGCGAAGTTGAGCTCTTCCCGACACCGCAAGAACGGCAGGAGGTCATCAGGTCACTACGTGAAGCAGGCTTTGAGGGTGACGGACTGTCGTCGAAGTTCCAGATCGGTGTTAAGAAGTTGCTAAGTATAATTGAGATGGCGCGCCAGGAACCTGATGACGTGGCGCAGCGGTTGATTGGAGCGCTTATGGGATTGTTATTATAGGTTATATCGCATTGTTACTGGTTGGCACTGCGATGTAGTTCAGGAAGGCCGCAAGTACTAGGTTTCGTTGTACATTCGATTTGTTGCTTAAGAGACTTGAGCATTTGGAAGAAGTCCATCGGGATAGAAGCAATTTTGTATATTCCAAAAAAAAGCGAACGTGGATGTGAAAGCAT